GTGCACTCACCTGCCCACCTTGCCTCACTGGTCCTCATTTTCATCACTGCCTCATGCCTGATAACACTGGAATTTATAGTCCTTTTGCCCACTGGCAAAAGTGATGTCATAAGTCACAAAGAAAAGTAGCTGAGTTACATCCTGAAATCCACTCTCCTAAAGGTAAAATCTAGGGTGGAAGTGGTGTGAGGCTCCCTCTTCTTCATTATACTGGGCATAGCCTCACTCACTGCATCTTTTCTCTCATCCTTTGACACGGGAAGAAGAGGGCATTGATAGCTAGGGTAGCAAGCTGGGATGGGGGAGAATCAAAGGGGAGTCAGGGCACTGACATCCTGAGTTGCCTAAGGCCAGTCCTGTCCCCACTCTCTGCCCCCTAACCCCAGCACAAACTGAGATGAAAGAGGCTTTCTTCCTTTCCTTTGTTCGGTCTCCCCTTGAGCCCAGATCGATTTTAACTGGAACACAGTTTATTGAAAGAACTCTTCCCATAACTGAGTGTCCAGGCAGAGGTCGCTTTGTGTGTGGGGGACACCAAGACACTGCTAATCCCCTTGTTCCTCTCCACTTCTGAACTCCTGACCTTCCCGTAAGCCCCAGCCAGGCGTGACCCTGGGAAGTGGCTGGGCATTTTCTCTTGGATTAAATGCCCCAGGAGGCAAAGGCACAGAGAAGCACCGCTCCCCTCCCTCCTTCGCTGAGCCGCTGGGACAGCCAGGCCAAGAAGCAGGCAGAACCCCTGAGCTCAGCTGAGTCCAAGTCTGGACATTCTGCCTTTAATAAAAGCTGGTTAATGCCAGCTGCCTCCAAGAAGGGGAACGGGAACATTTACCCCTCTATACCCTTTGTTTTTCTTTTAAGTAGACTTTATGTTTAGAGCAGTTTTAGGTTCACTGCCAAACTGAGCAGAAGGTACAGAGAGTTCCCATGCACACACTACCCCCATACACGCACACAGCCGCCCCCGCTGTCACCATCCCCCATCAGAGGGTACAGGTAATGAGCCCACACTGACATGTCATTGTCGCCCAGAGTCCACAGTTTACAGCTGGGTTCATTCACACTAGGGTTCACTAGGTGTTGGGCAGTCTGTGGATTTGGACAAACGTATAATGACGTGTATCCACCATTACAGTATCAGCCGGAGTCATTTCACTGCCCTAAAAATCTATACCCTTTATACTTTTAAAATTTTGAACCATGTGTACCTATTAAACATATAAATGAAAGCATTCTTCCCAACACGGAATCCCAGGAGATCCAGCGGAGTTCACAGCTGCTGGGAGGGAGGACTCGGCTTACTGAAGTGAGGGAAGATGTGTGTTTCCTTTATCCTCTTTAATCCGGTATATGAGCGTGTGTCTGGGCAGACGTGAGGGAGAAAGAAGTCCAGGTGATCGATGTATCATCCTGTCCACCAAGGTTTTAACGACTACAAAGCCCTAAACCATGACTGACCTTAAATGTGGTGGCGTAAGGCGTCCCCCACAGCAGGAGAGGGACCACGCAGGGCCTGACCAGGGGCGGAGGCAGGCAGACGGACTGCTCTCTCCCATCTTGTTGTTGAAAGAGGAAACATTTTTCGACCATGGGCACCAGCAAAGCTTTGTGACTAAATTTAAGCCTTCTCTTTCATTCTTTTCCAAAGACTCTTCTTAGAGCAATTCTAGTTTTGAAATAAGTTATGGAAGTCCAAGCGGGTGCCGAGTACATTAACCAAAAAACAAAAATTTGAGTTTTGAAGGGATGTAATACAATGATCGAGGGGCTTCACAGCTGAAGATTGTTCTGGCAAGGCTGAGCTGGATAAAAGGCCACTGCCTCTAATCACATTTCTCTCTTTACCTTTTTCAGTCTGTAATTTTAACCTGTTGACCCTGAATTTGACTTAAGTGCTAAAAAGGTTCAAGGCCAACAGACTAGCCCTCAGCACCTGAAAGGCCACATTCTCATAAGCATATCCCAGAAATCATAAGCAAATCTTGACCTTCTCTCTACAAGGCAAACTGCTGAGGCAGAAACCAAAACACCAGCAGGAACGCAGGCGGCTCAGGCCTCATCTGGGCAGGATGTGAAACGTCAGGCCATTAGTCTTGTATTTTTAATGCAGTGGTTAAGGATGGGATTGGTGTGGGAATTAAAAAAAACCATTTTGACTTTGGAGAATTTCTTCTTTCCTTTAGTATGAAACACTGACACCCACTCACCAGGGTTGGGAACTAGCAAAAGCTACATGGGGTGTCTAGGGTGAGCATTCATTTCCCCTGGCCTCCATTCTTCGGCTGTCAACAAAGGCGGGAAATGCCAAGTCAGTGCCACTGGCTCATGCCAACACAGAGATCTGTTTCTTATTTCATTTGGCAGAGTGCAGAACTGCAGTCACAACCACTAAGGTGGAGAGCTTGGAGCTCCTCCAATAACTGATACCATGAAGTCAGCAAGATGAAAACGAAGCCATTGATGTGGGACAGAAAAACAGAGGTGGGTATGTTTTAATAAGCCACGGTTAGTACATGAATTCAGGTAGGTTTTTGTATTTTCAGTGTACTCCTGAATTCAGCAAGTATATACAGGGCTCTATATATTTTTCTATATGAAAATTCTAGTTTCAACCTACGTTCTCCAGATAGGTTAATTTATCCAAAAATTTAACCCCCAGAATTCTAGTAGCTAAGGCAGTTAAAACCAAAAGGGCGAGGGTTATTGCCCTGGCTAGTGAGAAACAGAACCCAATGTCCTCTAATAAACATTTAGGAAGTCAAATATGCTTATTATAGCTGGGAGAGAAGCCTGAATGTTTGTGTGGCTCCTTCTACGCCGACACTTCCTGCAAACACACTGGCTGACATTTAGAGTGCTACCACAGAAGGGGCGACTCCAACCAGAATGCTGGTCCAGAGCTGCGACTACATCAGTGGTACCCTCCAGCCAGTCTGCACCTCATCCCAGCCAGGATCTCAGGCAGACCCCTAGGAATTCTGGGGGGTGGGGAATTGAACTGTAGACAAAATCGCAGGGCTCAAATAGCCTTCGGGCTCCAAGTTCTTCCATCCTCTTCCTGGAATTCTTGGGCAATCTTCCCTTTGCTCTAATTTCTCTTTTCTCCCCCGTAAGGAGCAAAACTGGTTGAAGGGCGTCATCTCAGGCGGCCGAGAACCTCCTCCTTCCAACACACGTCCTGTCGGGGGACTGAGTCGTGGAGGAGAAACGCACAAGGGAAACCCCACACACACACTCGGTTCTTCTCAGACGATGAGCGTTTATTGTATTTCACATCTCACTCACCCAGAACACGGTGAGCATGTGGGCGGCATTGCCCATCTCATCATTGAAATGATTTAATGTGCATGAGTCTCTTGCCCGTGCTGGGCCCACGTGCGCCCGGTGGAGAGGAGCGCCCACCAAGCCCACCTTGAACGTGAGCCCGCTTGGGCTCCAGCCGCGCTGTCCTCATTGCCATTCCTGGCTGCCACATACTTGCGGGAGTTAGATGGGTCAAGACTGACATTTAGCTTGGAATTAAAGTTTCTAATTTTACACTTCTGAGTACAGCTGGATTGTCTCAGTCTGCTTTAAAATCCAAAGGTTGCCCACTCACTCTGCTATGACCATTCTGAGTATGGGATTTATTATTCACAATGCTGTATTTCAAATCAAACAGAGAAAAGCAGGCTTCAATACCACAGCCCAGGAAAAACTGGGAAAGTGTTCCATTTCTCCATCCTGCTCAGTTTTTCCCATAGCCTGTTCCCAGCCCGGAAGACAAGAGCTTCCCCTCTTGAAGGATTTGTGGGAGGAAGACAGATGCAAATGTGGGAGGAAGAGCTCTGGTCTTAAAGTGGAGGCGAGAGCTGAACGCTCCCTCTCTAATCTTGCCGTATGTATAGCTCACACCTTCCTTCCCAAGTGGGGGAAGCCACTGGCACGGAACAGGTTAAAAGGTTCACCAAAATCTGTGCTTCAGAAAATGTTAAAAACAGCACAATGAACAAAAGATACTGAAAGGGCTCAGCTACAGCGTATTGCCTACTTTGCTAAGGTCAAAGCCTTCCATATTTTGGTAAACTTCCCAAAGTCTGTTCCAGCACAAGCACTGTGACAAACTTCCGTGCCCACAGATCATGACCCTAGATCAATAGAGGTGAATAAGAAATGAATTCTAATGCTGCAGGGGTACTACGGAGCACAATTTGGGAAGAAGATGAAATGATAATGTGAACCTCACCTACCTGCAGATCTGGGTGGGGAAATTGGAGGCAGAGTGGGGAAGAGAAACCCTCAGGATGCATGAAGATCTGATCAAGGGCACAGCTCATAAAAATGCTGGCAATTTGGAATTTTCCTACAGAAAGTTTAGGAAACATTCCAACAGCAGGAAATGAGATGACTTCAGTGCCAACAGTTTGTCCTGTCGGTACTGAACCAGTGTCCTCAAAAGAAAAGAAGACTGCTTCCTCTGGGACCACGGGAACTGGGGGAAAACCTCCCCAACGCAGGCAGAGGTAGGGGGAGATCAACACAGAGCAGATGGAAAGGTTCGAGAGCCATTCCGAAGAGGGGCCCTGACCAGTGTAAGCCGACAGTTACGAAATCTTTACAATGTGGCCCCCAGGATCTCACACTTCAGTAAAAATAGATGAATTCTTCAAAGGCTCTACCTGTATATGATGTAACCTCCAGAAGCTGAGGTGACACAGACGATGCTAGAGGCAAAATCTCCCATCTGAGATGTGTGCAGAGCGGTGGAGAAGGGCCTATAGTAACCAGGTGGGAGGACCACCTTACTGAAGGAGCACAGCTGCTAATTTACAGAAGACTGTGTCTGAGAAAGGTCATCTACTCTGACCCCATGTGCATCTGGAGGTGGGGGGACACATTTATCAGTCAGGGACGAAGCTTACCCTCTGGAACCTGCCTAGGACAATGAGGTTTCCCAGCCTGAGCACCCTCAAAACCAGCTTGGGGATGGAGAAAACAAGCAAATTCTAAGAATTCATAAATCATTGCCCTCCCAGATAAAAAAATCATTCTTTATTATTCCATTCTCAAACCACAAAACTCCAGGCTGAATATCATTAGACATATACACAGAAAATCACTCATTTCTGGAGTGGTCTCCCATAACCCCTCTCAAAATTTGGCCGAGTTATGTCTCAGGAAATTTTCCAGTTCAACCCCAAACACCAACCTGGGATAAGCAGAGACACTGAAGTCTTGTGGTTGTACCCACCGTTCCGAAGTGCTACAGGAAGAGTATCTATTGGAGGAGGTCACTTCTGCTGGGTTAGAAAACAGTTAAGAATGCTCCGTGCAGAGCTCTGGGTGTGGTTAAAATGTGAACCCGTGAGTCTCCTCCCGACCTGCAGGCTTTGTTCTTTCCCTGCCATTGTTTTGTTTTGTCTCTTTCCACAGGGTTTGGCTTACAGGCTATAATAAAAATATATCTTCTATTCAGAATCACACTGGAGAGCAGGTGGTTCAGATGAGTAGGACTGTTACATATTAAGTTACTGAAGCTACAATGGAGAAATCTGAACTCTGGGGTTACAACTCAAAATAAATATTATTTCAAGGTAAATAAACCAATTACTGGGCTGGCTAGTGAAATGCTTAATTCTTTCTAAAATCATAATTGCAAAGGAGACTTGTGATTTATGATATATCCCAAGACAAAAATCTGGTAACCTCTGTCTTCACAATGATTCAGAGCGTCCCTTTGTTTCTCCCCTCAGTGCTGAGAGATGACTCCAGAGCCCGGAAGTTGTTATACACACGGCATGGGTTACTCGGTGCTCAGGTAAAAAATGCCATGAGGCCCAACCTTGACTAACACTGCTGTTCTTTTCAGTATGATGGTACCTAGGTGGAGGCCCTCAATGGAAAAGGAAAGATGTAGACTGTGGAAGCGAGGACAAGCTGAGGGCAACTACACAAACAGACTCAGATGGCCGAATGGAACATGACTATTGAAGCCAGCAGCCTTGAAAATATCACTATTACCTTCAAAACCCACACGCTTTTATTCTTCGAATCAGGAAACTGGAGGTGAGGGGAACATTCGCTTATAATGTTCACCAATACATTCGTCTTAACAGAAAAGAAGCTATTTTAAGAATATGAAAAGCTTTTCAAGACGTATGTTTTCAGGGACAGATCACAGGAACAGAAATACTTTTCAGAGTCGGTTTGTTCTAAAGTCTATTCCAAGAATAAGGGCAGCCAACTTTCACAAGGTACCAAGATATGTTCTGGCAAAAAGATTTTCACCTTCCCAAAGTTATATGCTGTCTTCAAGTCCAACTATATTATGTGTGTGTGTATATACATATATTTACCTGATCCTTTTCTGATGGCGAAAAAGGGAACAATTTTTTTAAAATTCCGAAGTTGATAACATTTGTAGAATATTGTGAAGGTAGAATTTTGGTTGGATGTTTTTTTTTTATAATTCAGAACATAGATGAAATCACAACTTCTGCAACTGTCCCTAAATCTTTAAAAGGTCCTTTTCTCCATTCACATGAATTCATCTGAATCATTGCCGTCCTGCAGGAAAACAAAAAAGTGAAACCGTAAGAGCCTTCAAAATAAATAACTCAATTCAAAAAATTCACAGTTAGTCTTAAGTAACAAGAGTCTCCTTATGCCTAAGTGCGGAACTCAGAGTAAGAAGTAAATTAACTAAAGTCACTCGTTTCTTGTCTATATTAAATTGTTAGTTGTTTAGAATAG